GAATGCGGTGGGTGATAACTTCCAGGTTGCAAAGGATTTTCACGGACCGAGCGCATCGAATGCAAGGTTGCTTCGTGTCGCAACAAAAATCGCAATCGCTTTGCCGCATTTCATTTATAAATAATGTGAAAATTCCTGTACTAATAGATAATATAAATACGTGACCATTCGTTTACGTCTACAATAATTTTAGTAATAAACGCGTATCGTTGCCAAAAGTCTACGTACAACTTTTTTTCAAAATAAATACTCGATATTATTACCTAGATTTTTTTATTTATTTTTCACGTAACCTATGACTACATTCCTATAGAAAACGATTTTTTAAAATTCAAAACAAAAAATCATGCATTTAAGGGTTAATTTGATTAAATTCTTAAGGTTGCTGAGGTGGCGGTCGAAGCGCCGGAACTTCTATCGAGTTGTGGCAAAAGTAATTTCGGCACTTTCGTAAGCTATCTATGTGGCAAACCGAAACTACTTTCGCAGCAACCCAATACTTCTGTTGCGCACCGTTCATCATCTTGCAACATGTTTTAGTAGAACGTAGCAGGTGGGGGAACCAAAGCAGCGCTCTTTCTTGAAAACTTTCTAAATGTAATTGGAAGATATTTTTCACGCCAAATCCGGCATAGATTCGAAGACCCCTTTACGAAGACGTTCCGGATAATAGGAACATTACCATTATTTAACCCTTTGCACTCGAGTGGTGACTCAGAGGCACCGCGAAAATTCGTTACATCACGTTTTAAGATAATTTTGATGTTAACAAAGTTTAGATTTAAAAAATTGTTAACAGTGTAACTGTTGCGTGAGTCCCAAGAGTCGATTTCATATGCATAAAATGCGTTTTATCATATAAAATAAAAGTACAACAAGTTAGAAAAACGATTTTATATTTACAGTTAAAATCGCTTCGAGTGCAAAGGGTTAACACGTTGAACGCCACGTCACCCATATCTGGGTGACAGTCATGTTTCCGCAGTCTTCGTCCAATTAAAGCAGGATTTTGGAGGTAATTTATAGTAATTTTTGATTCTAACACAACCATGACGAGTATAGACAATATAGGGTAACAATAAAGTATAAAATAAACAAAAGCAAACATTAAAAATATACTTATATTAATAATAAAATAAGATAATAAAATATGAAATATACTTATTAATAAATTATACTTATATTTAAATTTGTTTTCAAAATATAACATTTTATTAGTTACGATGGAATTCGTTAAAACATCGTAAACATAATTGGGGTGACTCTGGACACTCGGGACAATGCGTTATAGCCTTTTGTACATTTTTTTTTGCTTCGTGGCGCCGAGAGAAACTCTACCGATTCAATGTTCAATGGGCGTTCAACGTGTCAAGGCGTATTATTCAACATCGCAACGTTATTATAGTCCGTATATAGGTTTGTCATATTAATTTAAGGAATTAAGGAATTTAAGGATTTTAACACTAGATTTACGGAGCACAAAAAACGCAGTTAACATTTAACAGCTAACACAAAAAACATTTATATTTATATTTATCGTATATCTCTTCTGATTTTTAACAAGTATTATTGTAACGTTTGTGCCATAAGTAACATATAAATCGAATAAATAACTCATAAATATAATCTTTACGATAAGAATAATCATAAATTAAGAAATTAGTAACTCGTCATTTTAACGGGTTCCGTAAATCTAGTGTTAAAACCATCGAAACAATCGATAATACTATTAACAGCTACATGAGAATATTCGCAAGTAAAAGTTTCCCATCGAAGTTATTGCATTTAATTGTTATTACTTAAACGGTGCACTTTCATTCTTAATTATATTGAATCATCTAGTTATCGAAAGGCAACCTTTCTATATATCTTTACGATAAGAATAATCATAAATTAAGAAATTAGTGACCCGTCATTTCGACGGGTTCCGTAAATCTCGTGTTAAGGAATATCTTGTTACACCTAACCTCATTATTTCTTTCGTATTTTCCTTTTCTCTTTGCTGTAATTTTCTAAATAATAGACGACTTCCCGCATATATTCGATAAATAAATAAATAAATAAATAAATAAACAAATAATTGTTGGTAGGTAGAGGGTATCGCGTTGACATTTTATTTTTGCCCGAATTCCTTTATTCCACGATTTCGAAGGTGCGTCAAAAACAGCACGCCGTGTAGTTCCGGAGCAGGCTCGTTGGCCGCGATGCGGTTCCGTTCTGCGACTGCTACCGAGGCAGTACCGTGCTCGTGCTGGTGCTCGTCCGTGGCCGTGGTGTGCCATCAGGTTGCGATACTGCTCTCGGGAAACGACGCGACGCCGAGACCCGTGGTCCGATGGCGCGGGGGTGCGGTGCCGCGGGGGTAGGGTATAGCCGGAGGGATGATAGCGCGAGAAACAGAAGAAGGAAGATGGAGAGAGCGGATAAGAGACAGAAGGCGCGAGTGCGGCGCGGCGAGGGGAGGGGAGGGGCCGGGAGCGGGCAGAGAGCGGGCAGAGAAAGAGAGAACGGGATTGCGCGCGTTCTAGGGGCGAGAGAGCTCGGGGAGAGGGTGGCGAGAGGGTTGAGTGGGGTGAAGCCGAGAGGGGATGCCAGGCCAGTTTACCCTTACTAGCCGCGGCTCGACTCGTCAGTGCGGCCTGAACGGTTAACCGGCCTACTTCTCTTTCGCACGCTCTTGCCTCGAGACTCCTCTGGTTTCTCTCGCGATTTGCGTCGTCGCCGTCGCCGTCTTAGTCATCGTCGTCGTCGTCGTCGTTGTCGTCGTCAACGCCTGGACACATCCTCGTCGGCTCGGTTCAACCCCTGAGGCCAGAGGGAGCGAAGCTGCTGGGAGTGGAAGACGGAGACGGAGAGTGACAGGTGAGGAGAGAGAGAGAGAGAGAGAGAGAGAGAGCGCGAGAGGGAGAGAGAGAGAGAGAGAGAGAAAGAGAGAGAGAGCGAGAGAGAGAGCGAGGCTCTCTGGCGAGTGTCTCTGTGTCTCTGGCCTGTGCCCGATAACAAGCCCGATACCGATGAAGAGCAGCCGTTGAACGGCACGGCACGGCACGCCACGGAAGCTGGAAAGAGGCAAAGGCCAGAGTCAGGGTCGTGGCAACCCGAGCGAGCAGACCGACAGCCGGACCAGCAGCGGCTGCAGAGGGTCTCCACCTATCCGTCCGGCTGAACCGAGTCCACCTACGCTCGACCCTCGACGCTCGACGCTGGACACCGGACACTGGAGCAGCTGGCGACGGTGCTCCGACCACCTCGGAAATCCGTAAGTGCCCGGAGTCCCGTCTCTTCCGACGGGATCGATCCCCCGCGTCTCCTATCGCGGCTCCTCGCGGCTCCGCGCGGCTCCTCGCGGCTTGTCCTCTCGCGATCGAATCTCTTCGAACCGACCCAGCCGTTCGCGAGCTCGTCGAAGATGATGCCAGAGCCAGCTGCAGGGCCTGCTGCCGGATTACACCGCGCCACGCGTCACTTCCGGCCGGCGTCGTCACGTCTTAGGCGGTCTCGGCCTCCTCGTGCACGCCACCCCCTAACTCTGTAAACACGGTATTTAAGATCGCCTCTCGGTCCCCGTAGCCTCGGCTCTGCCCAGCCAGTGATATTCGTGAACGAGTCAGTGCTTCGGGCCCGGGAGACAGGTTTTCGTGCGACGCAATTGGGCCTTGTTTCGTTGGTTCTGCGGTGAACGCACAGGACCGGAGAAATTTTTCGATCGCGAGTTTACGCGGGTTGTATCAGGCTGATGCAATTGCAGGTCCGCGGGGGCGATGATGCATTTTTGCTAGGACCCGAAGGAACGGGGTTGAACGAGCGAAATCGCAGCGGGTTTATTGTACACCGGTTCGTAAGATTTAGGAAAACGTGCATGTTGGGGGAACGTTAATTGTGCACGGTGTAACTGCAGCTTTCCACGCGGAAAAATCTGCAGTTACGGATCGGTCGGGACGAAGGGCGAAAACGTTTCATTGGGATTGTTCGGTAGTCGAGTTTGTTCCTTAAACAACGGATCATTCGTTCGATTATTCTTTCGAGAGATTCTACGCGATTCTGGGAATAGTAGATGCGAAACTCGTTGACGTTATTTTCAACAGCGCGTTCGCAAGTGAAAAGCGTCGCCTGCGATTTTCGCAGTGTTTCCAATGCTGCCGGGTGAACCTTGTTCCCGAAAATTGAGTTGTTACGCTTTTAAAGTCCACTTTAGAAGTCCACTTAACCCTCGATTCGCTGGAATAGGAGAAGTCACGAGTTTCAGGCGCGGTGCATCTATCAGATTCAAAAATGGAAACTCTTTAATTGAAACGAAACTGTTCTTGCACTCGTGTATTTCTAAGCCAGGCGATCCGTTTAACCGCACGAATATACGTGCTTGAAATTCGCGGCTCTTCCGGCAATAATAAACTACGGATCTCGCGCATTCGCGACAGAAAAACCGTGTAGACCGAACGCGGAACGATGAAAAGAAATATACATTCGAAATTCCGTGTTCTCCAATTAATGCTGGCTATTTTTATCTTGCATAGTATTCCTCGGATCGATGAAACGTTAGAGATTAAATTAATGTAGAAAAACCACGTTCAACATTAGAAAATCGTTTAGTTTGGTTTAAAGTTTTCGCTGTGCCGAACTCGCGTTTAACATGGCCGACGTTATCGTTATCATCTCCGCGATAACTTGCAAAATTCCTTTACAGCTAAGTTAATCGTAGAAATTCTACTCCGCTACGCATTAAAGATTAACGTCTTAAAAGCTGCTCCGATTGTAAATCTAGTCGCCTCTTGAGCAAGATAAGCCGTTCTGGAAAATACCATTAGCGAGAAAAGAATGTTATTTTGCAAATGAAAAACCGCTGCTCGATTGTTGCCGGTCGAGTTCGCAGCAGAGAACTGGCGGTGCATCTCGTACACCCACGTTTGCACCGTGACGAGGGTGGTCGTGCGAACTGGTTAATGGGTCCAGCAATTATTTTCGAATGCCGGCGAGCAGCTTGCAGCGTCGTTGATCACAGCGGACCGAAAGCTCCGGGTGCTTTATCGAGCCCCGAACGCAATCTCGAACGACGTTGCTCGCGTTTACGCGCCGATGGGCCCCGTTCGCGTTATCCCGTTTTGCTAAACGATCGCGGCCGACAACCGTATTTCGTCGCAACAAGTTGAGCCGAAACGTAGAAACCAGCGGCCACGTAAAAACGTATGTAAATGTCGGCGCGCAACCGTCCGCGATCGATTCGGATCGATCGAATTCCTGGCGACCGGATGCCTCGTCGTGTAATTAATTCACCAGTTTTTATAGCGTGTCTAATTATGCGGAGTTCGACGAAGTTATTTAGGAACATCGATAAGCAATCGATTATTTTTAGCTGCGCTCACTTGTGCTTGTTTCACTGAAACTCGGGAACCTTGGCTGGCGCGCGGCCGTGTGTTTGGCGACACTATGCGACACGGTGCATCGAAAAGTTGCAGTCTTTTTTTTTTTTCTCTATATAAACACGATTCCGCCGCGATGCCATTGCGCTCTCGCGGCGAGCAACGTTTTAATTTCACGTGGGGAAAAAGTTTCGCACGCCCGGCGGAGGAGGGTACCTCTCGTGGATCGATGTATTTTTTTCGTTGGCAAGTTAATTATTTTTAAGCAGCTAAAAATAGCCGGCACGTTTTTTCCAGCGCGAGTTCCATGCAAAATGTACGTAATTTTCGTCGACCGCCAAACAACTCGATAATCAATTTAGTCGATGAAAACGCTCCCCGCGGTCGTGTCCTACGAATTTTCATGTCGCCGCGTTCCGCGGCAAGATCGGCGCGGTCTCGACGTCTTCCGCTTCACCATTAAATTGATCAACGTCCCGGCGAAAGAACACCAAGCTCCATTTAATCATCGCTCCCACAAATTAATTCCCCGGGGAACGTCCTTGTCGCAGCCTCGGAAAACGGGCCAGCGGAGGCTGAATCGGCGCGGCGCGCCGCGGCGCCGTATCTCGCATCCATGAAAATTCTTTCTATTTTCTGCTCTCTCTCTCTCCCTCTCTCTCTCTCATACTTTTCTTTACAACCGTCTTCTTTACTACTGGCTGCCCGCGTTCCTAGGAACGCTGCGCGCCCGTTAATAACCATTACCATCATTATCAACAGCCCGCGCGTAAAACTTTTAAAGTCCGACCACTCCGGCTGGCTCCGGCCTGCGCGCCGGGAGCTGTGTTTATTATTTCATAAATCTGTACAGCGGGGTATTAAAGTGCGGTACACGATGATAAAAGTAATGCGAGACGAATGGAGCAAACACCATCGCGAGGACAGGCCGAGGCAGCAGCCTGTCTTCGTCCTGCCTTCGTCCCACCTTCATCCCGTGACGCATGCTTTCCCATCGTTCGCCGTTTTTCTCTGCAATCATAATATCCTTTCGCTTTTTTATGCTCAGTCATCTCGGGATCCAAACATATCCAGTTTACTCGGACGCCTCGATAGTGCGGGTGGTTTGCCAAATTTGCAGGCCTCGATTTTGTTGTTGTAAAACATAATTTCCTTACGTAGCCGTTCAAGCGATCTACGAGACTACAATGACGATTTATTTCTATCTGAATCCAAGTCCTCGAGATCCGAATTGTTTTCATAGTCGTGGCACTTCGCAGACGTTTCAAGCTGCTGTTTCATTATTTTGGAGTAGAATGGATCCTCTACGCTAAAGAGACCTGTCCTATTTCTGTTACTAATTATTTTACTGCTTTCGATCAAACTTTTAAAGATCCAAAAATCGTTGACCCAATTCGGGTGTCGAATGAGAAAACCCTTGAATCAGGAACTAAAGAACTGTGCAAGCTTTGCGGCGATTGAAGTGCTAGTTAGTATCTCGCACCATGGCGAGGAGTATAATTTGTGATCTACGAGACTACAATTACGATTTATTTTAATCTGAATCCAAGTTCTCGAGATCCGAATAGTCAACGGAACGGTTTACTTAGATGTTTTCATAGTCGTGGCACTTCGCAGACGTTGCAAGTTGCTGTTTCATTATTTTGGAGTATAATGGATTCTCTACGCTAGAGAGACCTGTCCTATTTCTATTACTAATTATTTTACTGCTTTCGATCAAACTTTTAAAGATCCAAAAATCGTTGACCCAATTCGGGTGTCGAATGGGAAAACTTTTGAATCAGGAACTAAAGAACTGTGCAAGCTTCGCGGCGATTGCTACTATCTCGCACCATGGCGAGGAGAATAATTTGTGAAAACTTTCGAATGTTCTTGTAGAATTCATGTTAATTGGTATAGTAGAAAAGTGAATGGTACACAAGTTCTTTTCTTTTTTCTTTTCCTTTGGGTTTTTTCTTTTCCATCGACTGCAGGGTCATTAGCGACAGGTTCCGTTTTTAAGCTCATTGCTAAATTTGATCGTACAGTTGTGTTTCTCTCAGGTAGTTCAAAGCTTTGATAACATGATCTCGGGTGGTCAGAGATGTTTTTGGCTGGAGTACGTATTTTCGTCTCTGTAGGTTGAATTTTTTACATTTCTGGAGCTGTCGATGTCAGTTCGTTACAAACGTTGCACTTTGAAGGTTCCGTTTTGTTTTTTAGTAGATATTCGTGGATTATCCTTGTATGTCCAGTTCTGAGTTTTGAAAGGATTATCTTGTCTCTCCTGGTGAGGTTTCGGGTTGGTACTTCTTGAAAAACAAGTATCTTCGTCCGGTTGGTTGTATTCCATATCTGCTTCCGTTTCTCGTTTTCTATTTTGTGTACCGATTTGAGGAGATCTGTGTATGTGGAATTGGGTACTAAATTGGGTGGGAAGGGTGGTTTTTGCGTTCTTGGCGTTTAGGCCAGCTTTTTCGTTTCCGGTTATGCCCTGGTGAGAGGGGAACCAAGTTAGGACAAGTTCTTGCACGGTTCGTTACGAGTGCATTACCTCGACCGGCGTGTGTTACCGCGTAACGACGCCAAGACTGAATCAATTTCCACAATTTCGATCGCAACGTACGAGTCCTCACAATTTCAGCAACTTTGAAGTAACAAATGTTGGCCGGCTCGGCAGATTTTGCGTCAATATTCGCTGTCTCCGGTGGCGAAATCCATTGTGTGCTACGAACGATCGAGCCACGAAAAGTTCTAGCAACGGTGCAGAGCGTGGTCCTTGGTCTCTTCCGCGTTGAGAGCCGCGGGACGCCAAGAAGGAAGGAAAATAGCAGCAGGTATTTTCCCTGTCGAGCGTTGAAATAAAAAGCGCGGCCGATGCTCGTAGGGTAGGGACGCGTAGGATCGATTTCGAGCGAAGAAG